AAAATTGAACATTAACTTACTCGAAAATCTATCTTTAAATAACAGATTTAATAGAGGTAAAAATCTCTATCTTCAATATTGTAGTAGTAGGAAGACACCCAAAAAATTGCCCTTTTGACAAAGTTTTATCAAAAAGATTGGGGCCCTTTTTGAGACAATTTTGAAAATGTTGAGGTTTCTTGTATAGAATCCCCAAGAATCAAAATATCCTTTTGAAACTGCCAAAGCCTCAAATTTGTTCAAATCGATCGGGAAATATCAATTTTGGAAAAAAAATCGACCACGCAATTAGAGGAAGTAATCTATATATAAATAAAAAGAAATGTGCGTACGTGTGTCGTACTTAGAGACAAAAACTACTCATCCGATTTCGCTAAAATTTCACACTTTCTTCTTATTACAAATAGGAATGTTTAAAGAGTGATTTGAATTAAATCGGACATGTGGGGACGTTGTTGACGATGATTTATTAGTTGATGGCGACTCAAGCTCCCTAAACTCTACGCAACCCGCTGCGCAGTCGAGGATTAAGCGCGTTTTCACTGCATACAAGTATTCTGCCCCTGCGATTGTGACATATCGGCCGAAATTATTACATGATTCTCGAACATGTAAATTAAATTTCTCCAAGATAGTATCACAGCGACCGCATGCCTGAATTCCACGGAGAACGTTTTAACAATAGGATACTTGACAATCATGTCCAAACCAGGACGTAGAACAAACCCATACTATACATGCAATAGAAGCTGAAAAAAAAAGGAAAATTCTCGTTGTATCTCTGCAACAGAATGCCCTAAGAGGCTAATTCTTTTGCGAATCTACATTTTGTATTCTCTTTCATATGAGCATCGCGATTATTGATTTATTTGGATTGGGGCACTTTTTACCGCCTTATCCGACTATACAATTTGTAGCTGCACTACTTCTTCTTTCGAGTCGACGACAGCTAAATTCTGTTTTACAGCTGCACTACTGCATGGCGTTGACTCATTTTAGGCAAACTGTCATAACTAGAGAGTTTTTTCACGTAATTAAATATTTTTTCTTTCTACCTACGGACCTCAAATTTGTAATCTTGTCGAATCGTCGCCATCCTAACACATCTATTTTTTTCGTTACATATTCGTTACTATACTTGAATTACATATTTGACGTATTTTGGTATTTTCACAAAATATTTTTTATTCTATCAATTTTCTTCAATTTTATTACATTTTTTTTATGAATAGAACTATTTTTTTAAATCAGCATTTTCCTTATAACATTACTGTGTGCTGTCCACTTCAGATACCCTTGATGAGGACGCGTGATGTTCTCACAGTGGCGCGTCTGTTTAAGTGATCTCAGTGGCGGGAAGTGCGCGTTAATAACTGAGATTATTTTCACCTTTTGGTGTGAAAAGTATCACTGACGGCGCGGATCGTAACCAATAACCTTAATTTTGGAGAAACATTGGCGATCGCTGACGTTAAACATTCAATGAGATTTCTTCACGCTTCAGTGAATGTTTGCTGGTCGCAGTTAGCACCAGTTCGTACGATATTTTTTTTTTCGCATCTAGTCAGGCTGCAAAACTACGGACCTGGATAGCAATATATGAAGCTTCTACTACTAATAGAAAAGTTGTATGGTGCAAAATGAGCATCAACTTGTGCTCTCCAAATTATTTTTAAAATTTGTTCAGGACATTCTTTATAAATGTAACTTTGCATTATGTAAAAGTGCTTTACAATTAGTGAATTTTAATATTACATATAATAGATTTTACATATTTATTACATATTCTTACTGTTTTCATTATATATTAACAGTGAGTGTCAAAAGTATTGGAACAATTCGAAAATTTCAGAAAATTAAATTTTAGGTGTAAAATAAATCACAAATTAAAAAATTTAGGTCGCATTAAAACAGTGTAATTTTGTAATTGATGTCAGCAAACAAAAACGTAACATAACTTACTGAAAAATTTAAAACGAAATATACAAACATTATATCGCGAAAAAAGGCGGCCAAAAGTATTGGAACAGCCTCATAATCAACGGCTAAAAATTTAATAAAGATGTAACTGTAAACAAATTAATAATTGGTGAGATATCCTTTGGCATTTGTAATGGCTTCTAGAAGTCTTGGCATTAGTTCTACAAGCTTTGCCGTCATAGGTGGCAAGATACTGTCCCATTCCTCCTAGAGTGCGCACTTAAGAATATTTTTATACAAAATCGGGCTGTTCGTAATTTTTTTCTCCAAAATTTCCCATAAATATTCAATGGGATTAATGTTTGGAGATTGTGGTGGCGTATACATATATCGTGGTGTATTAGAAAGGATCCACATTTTTGTATTACAAGCCCTGTGCTTTGAATCATTGTCCTGCTGAAAAACGGAATTGTCTTTGATGTCCATTTTTCAGCAGTTTTATGTAGTTTAATTTGCACAATATATATGCGCATTGCGTGGCCATTATACCATTTATAAAGTGAAGAACCCCCACACCAGACGCACTCATACATCCCCACCTCTCTATTTCACTGTGGGCTGGAGTTTCTCTTCCTCCACGCCGTACATCTCCCATCTGCACCAAAAATATTAAATTTACTTTCACCAATAAAAAGTAAATTGATTCCACATTTATTGAGAACTGTTTCAATATTTGTTAGTTAATTCTAAGCGATTTGTTTTGTTAATGTCATTGATCCAGAATTTCCTAAGCGCCACGCGTCCATGGTAGTACCCACTGTTTCTTAGTATTATGCGAAATTATTCCGGAAGCAAGTTTTGGATATACTTAATGTCGCGAAAAAATATTCATGTGCCACGTTCATTCAGTATGGCTGTCCTCCACTGCGTTTGTTTGTCACGATTATCCAAACACAGTACCTATCAATTACTTTAACATTATAGTGTGATATTGGCACAATCTTTACGATTTCTCTCAAAGATCTGCATATATTACGCACTAATTATAATTTTTCTCTTTTCTTCAGTTGTCTCCTTTTCTTTACGCCCTGTAGTAGCATTTGAAAAACAAATATTTCAGTTTTGTACACTTCTGAATCACCGACTGGTGAATACCACAAAGGAAATTGATACAAAAACCGTTTCAGCCAAGGGTTGACAGGAGAGTCCCGACTTCTCCGCGAAAACGGCATTCCCAACAAAGATTTTATTATGTCCAATGAAATACTGGGCCTGCTTCACACCCACCATCGTTACCACAAAGCACCCTCCCTGTTGGTTTGTCTATGGCATCCACTGTCTATGACCGCAACACGCCTTCACAGGAGGCCAGACGCGCGAGAGCTTACGTGGCAATCAAGTCCAAAGCTGGACTCAACGAAAATTGAAACGTTAAGATTGCTGCAAGAAAAACGACTTCTTTTAAATATTTACTCGCCAGCCGTTAACATTTATATCAACTTTAGACAAAGTTAATTCTAACAATTTTGAAGTAAAAAACTAAACAAAAAACAACTATATCTTTTAGTGATGTTAATCAATTTTGTGGGGAGGCCTGGCCTCCCCTGCCTCTGAAAATCCGCCAGACTTGTACTCACAACAACTCGCTGTTTGTACATATTTTCCGGTCTCTAGTCTTAACGTCCAATAATAGAAACTTTATCGTTAGTTGGCAATTCTTTATGTACAGGCAAACTTTTCACACTGGCGATCGCTGCAGTTTACCTTCGCGAACGAATGGGAACTGATGGACGGGTAATCCACACAGGAAGTTTGGAAGACTACCTGTAAGAGTGCGATCAAGCATCGGCCAGCAAGTTACTCAAATTTTTTGAACAACGCGTTGGAAAGTGACACCGCGTGCGCCAGTTACGAATATAATTTGCTCTTCTTTTTCGAGTCGTGAGCCTTGACGGCTCAAAACTGTGCGCAAGTGAAATGTGTTTGAAAACAATGATAAAATAAAACGAATTCTGATCACAATAAACAACGTTCTCTTAATGCTGTAATATTAGTCCGGGGCGGAACATCATAAATATGATAATATTAAACGTGATAACAATAAGAGGCGTCCACTATATATTGGATGAATCACGTAACTTCAACACTTCCTGTAACTTTTGAATGCAGTTTCACGACAGTGCACGAGAGAATGGGGCTAATTGATACATGTATTCATTTCTATTTTAAGAGATATTTAAGTTAACTTTGTTTCTTAGGAAGCATTAACTCAGAACCAAAGGCAAGAAACAGTGCATCAATCGTAGCACTATTTATACATAGAACAGAAAATTTGACACAATGGGTTGGCCAGAAAGCAATGTTTACATGTTATACCTGAGAGCATATTTCCATATAATCATGACTATTGTCATTATCTTACTGTTTGTAAACCTAATTTGTTTATTGTTTGGGTTAACTTTGACACCTTTCCCTAAAGATTACAATTTTTTAGGTTCTGGTGCAGAATAAATTACCAGAAGGAAAGTTGCCTTTTCCACAAAACTGCAGAAAATCAGTTGCATTTCCTCTGACCCCAGTATGAAGTAGTGATTAGAAACTTTGTAACTGGACAAGTCAGACTATTTAGAGAACATGTAATGCTGTATTATGTTTCATGGGAAATCTGTGGCAATTTTATATGAGGCTTCCAGAGTTTGCGAGATGTTCTACTGCAAATTATAAATTGTATTACCACCTTATGCAATTTATAATTACTGATTTTTTTAATGAATAAATGTCAGGGAAGGAAAGGATATACTTGATGTTTCTATGGAAAAAATGGCACATTTATTTTTCAGCTTTTTCATCTCAAATAGTGTCCTCCATTTTTCCAACAAAAAAATTAGAAAAAAACTATCTTGCACTTTCTTGTCAAAGCATTTATACTTCTCACATAACCTGCAGTTTTACATTTCACCAAAATTATGTCTTTCTGAAAATGTACAATTCATTCACACACTTCAGCTTCTTTCTTCTGATTTTTATTATATAATATATTATATAATATATATCAGTTTATTAGGAAGGTTCAAAAGATTAAATTCACTGTGCCAAATGTGCACTTATCAATAAACCCTTTCTATGGCACCGGGGAAGAACTTGACAAGTCCAACGAATCTAACAAAATTTAACACATACTTCATTCTGTTGTTGATATTCAACTTGTAACAGATTCCCCATTGTATTTTCTAATATTTACAATACATCCTTCACAACATCATCTCACAAATATATCAACACTAAAAGCTTACAGTTTAGATTTTTTAACAATCTAGTTCTTCCCTGTAGTCATAGAATTACAACTTGTTTTCACGAACATTCACAATGTAAAACAGTTTCGGTGCCAAATATTTGACATTTTCAAGCTCACCAAATCTCTCAATCAATTTCTATTTTCCTCGCACAAAAGGTTATATTATTTGTAATTATAATATTTACTATACACGGTTCACAGAATGGACCTTTCAAGGATGCTGATAGATATCACAAGTCACATTATATGCCCACTTTAAGAAAATATATGATTTTTCTCCCTAAGAAATCAATTTTGTTCACGAAAATGTATCCTATACATTTATCCAAATTCATGGTGTTTTCTGTATATTATATATATATATGATATATATATTATAATATATATACTATATTATATATATAATATATATATAGATAAATCTCAAATCATGTAATTTAAATATTAAAACTATTTCTTAATGTATTTTTCTGCATTATTATGTCTGCCAGGATTTGGTAGTTATAAAACAGAAAATAGTAATGCATCACTTAAAATGCAAATAAAAATAATTTCATGATTAAGTTTGAAAGTAAACCTTTTCTAGAATATCTCTCAACATCCTAAACCTTTCCATGAAGCAAAAGTCAACTCATTCACACATGTCATCCTCACAAGAGCTTTATACAAGGGATCAAATCAATCATTCAGATTCATTCTTTCTTTTTTAAAACATTTTCTTCATAAATCAATATCTTTATATATAAAAAAAGAGACTACACTTTGTTTTTGTCAAAAATTGTCTCTCCATATATATATATATATTTATATTTATATATCTCTCTCATTCAAATAAGAGCACTAGTTGAATTTCTCAATGATTTGCAGAACATTTTTGGAGGTCATATCTTGCCATATACACTCCTCTCCAGTTATCTCCTTTCATAGGGATTAATGCATATACACATTTATGTATATAAACATTTCCTTAAAACAGGCTCAAAGTTTTTGAGAAGAGCCAGTAGCATAAGAAGTTTTTTAAGAGGTTCTGTGAAACAAAAGAAACCTATTGTTGCTGCCAAAGGAAAAAAGCCTTCAGATTTATCTAAATACCTATCTGCATATTCAAATGCATATAGGTGTGAGGAAACCAACAGGCAGGCAGAAGCCCTATGCTGCCAATTATGTAATAATTTAATTAATGTGGGAAGAAAATAAAGTATTTAAAACAAATTAGAAAGTAATATTTTTAAAAAATGTCACAACTGACAGTATATTTATAGATATACATACAGGGATTTTAAGTCACAAGAACGATTGTGAATTAAATATCTGCAGCAATGGCAAAGCCAATATATGGTTTACCTACCGCAGGAGTACTGTAATTGGCAAGTGACAGACAATATCTGAAAGCTAGTGGAATTACAAATTAATTCTTCCTAAATGTTGCCTGTCTTACCAGACACATTGTTGAAGAATGACAATTCATTTAAAAAATATCTACTTCCCTCTTTATGTACACCAATTACAGATCAAAAATCTTCTAGGCTTATGGTAATTATTCATACAAATGAGCCCAAAGTATATGTTTTTGCTGTATTACTCAAAATCAACCAATTACATTTAATTAAAAAAACAACAAAGCAACAGTTTTAAATCATTATTAATATAGCTTGTCGTCAATTCACATTCCATGTAGTACCAGGATTATAATAGAAACATGTTGTACAAAGTGCTGGGCTTGTGTCAGGTTTCTTTTATGTTGTTTGTCTGCCTCTAGTATCAGCAGCTTCTGTTATCCATATTTTGCAAACTTCCTCTTTCACTATATTTTGGAATTGAGCATTATTTTATCTATCCTACTGAATATATTTAATTACATAATTACATTCAAAGTTTCAAAGTAAAAAAATTATTTTACTGAAGAATAACAAAATAAAAATACCTACATTGTTCTACACAAAGTTATCCCTGAGAATACACCAGATTCTAGTTCTTTATTCCATTAAAATAAAATCCAAAATGTTTTCATTCTGTAATTCAGATAAGACATGCAGATTACAAATGTATAGTAAAAGAGAAAAATTTCTTTAGACAAACTGGGTTATTGAGCAGTTAGTATAAATGGCCAGAAATATTCTGATTTCATAAAACATTTAAGTCAATATAATTTTTAATTCATGTGTAATAATTATATGAAGTATTGTCGAAAGAGGTATGACAAAGAATATCAGTAACACTTCCCTTTCTTCAGCAAAATTGTCACTAACGAATTATATACACCTCTGAACTGAAATATACCCTGTATGACTATCCAGGCCTACTTCATTTTCTGAAGTACAGGGCAAATTAAACTAAAATAATGTCTTGAAATGGTTTCCTCGACTACTGGATGATAGACAAATAAATAAATAAATAATAAAAAAAGAAAGAAACTCATCTTATGCAACTTATATTTATATTATTACATTGAATATTATCTTTAAAATACAACATGAAAGAAATAAAAAAAATTACAAAAGTTTGTGAAACAAGAGGTTGCATCAATTCTATTTCTTACAAAACCAGAGAAACACTTTTATTACTCAGATATTTACACTACAATATAAACAAATCATACACCAACTGCTTTGTCAAACCCAGCTTGGCTAGATATAGCATATTGACACCAAGCCACAGTCACACTGCTATTTTTAATATCATTGCCCTGGTCCAGGTCTCTCTAGAGACCATACTTATGAGGTAACTAAAAAAATATATATCAATTTATTTATAATAATATGAATACAGAAACAAAAATACTAAAAATCACATGACCTATGATATAATACACAAGTTGCCACATCACTGAGTGATTATATAAATTATAATCACAATAATTAACTTAATGAGAATAAATTTTATAAGATTTGGCAGCATGAAGCTTTGAGGTGTCAGCATGCAAGAACAATGATTTCATCACAGTACAATTTCCCCATTTACAAATGGAATGACATTGTGATAGTTTGTGTATTATTTCATTGATAATTGTTCTGGAATATTGTCAATAAAAAAAATATACAACTTGTTTTGCTAAGTTTTCTCAGAACTAAGGCGGAATTTCCATATGATATTAAAAATTGATACTCTTTCTGTCCATTAACATTTTAACATGTAACATGGAAAACCACAGAAACAAGATTGTTAATTACCATTGCAATAACTTTCACTGCAATAGTTTCTTTATAAAGTAAACTTGGATTATACATTACTTTAACCCTAATATTTTTTTTATCATTGATAAATTTTGTTAATTACGAACTGTGTTCATTTTTATTCTTCAATCTAATTTCCTAAACAAAACACTAGATCTCACAATTCACACCACTTTTTTAAAATTTGAATTCTGTCAAATGTTTTCCCCAAAGTAATAAAAATGTAAATTTCAGAAAAAGCAATTTTGTAACAGATGTTACAAACTTTATCAGGCACAAAATGTATTAGAATTTTAAACTGAATATCTGCATGTCAGAATTTTTCAAATAAATAAGGATGCAGGAAGGAAAGGTAGTACGAAAAGGATTGAGTAACTTAAAAAAAGTAAACGAAAAAGAGAAAGAAAGAGGACAAATATGAGATATTGGATGATATTAAGGAGAATGATTAAGTATGGAGAGAGAGGGTACAGTGGACATTGCTTATTGCAATCACAGTCAATGTTATCATCAGATAACGTTATCACTTTTCTGAAACCATGCATGGACCAATTTTATAGCAAATGTCTTTTTTTGTGATCAGAATTTGTTACATGTTATCAATTATTATTTGTTTTAAAAACCCATTTCAATTACATGCAATTTTGAGACTTCTAAGGTCATTTAAGACCAAGCAGATATTTGCTGCATATGGTGTCAGAAGCACCTTGGGAAATAATTGGGAAGAGCTTTCATACAGGCACAGAGTCCTCCCGATGAGGCATGATTGACATTCAGTCAACTGAGTAACTATACATGTAAATGTACTGTAATGATTGACTAAATAAATTTTCCTTTACTGAGATAGCAAAATGAATTTTACTTGAAGGGATATGCCCCACATAGAGCGGATTATTTGCTGAAGTGTTCACACACTCTTCACATTCTTCAATTAGAATGTTTTTTTTTGTCTATTGTTATCAATATGCAACTATATTATCTGCATCACGGAATGATCACAATAAACACTGTGTACTGCACTCAATTGGGGTCAGAGTGAAATGAAGAGCTGATAAGAGGACTATCACAAAGATGGAACACCAATTGTGTGCAAAATGGGTTATCATAATTGTCCCTTCCACATTTCAAACAAAAACATTACGGTTAAAAATACTAAAATCTTTAAAACATTTAAAATATTTAGCCCAATAACAGAAGTACTACCAGATGAATGAATATTACAAGTTGTGATTATATCAAGAAAACTTGTAAACAAAGATATAACTACTAAGCATATGCAATTGTCAGTATAATTGAACTTTGATTTATAATACGACCAATACTGATGGTAATGAACTTGAGACTACATCTCACAAAAATAGCTGAAATTATCTCATAGACATTAACAAAAAATTAAATCAAAATCATTAACTATTCTATTCAAATTATATAAAGGAAAAATAAGAGATGTTAATTTCAGAGAAGAGCATTCTTTAGAAACTTTTCATCTGCTGAACTAAATATGATTCATGGGAAAGTTAGAATAATCACAACTCTTAATATTAAACATGCAAAACTGTTTCATGTTGAGGGAGTTACTCCAACCAACATTTCCTTTTTGTGTTAGCAAAAATTACATCTTTTGGGAATACAACACTTATATCAATGAAATAAATGTCCCAAATTCATTCCTTCATTAACTTCATTCATCATTCACTCACACGTTCAATAGAACTTTTGGAAGACCACTGCTTGTATTCCTCACTGCTTCTCACAATTCACACTTTATCTTCAACAATAAAAAAACATTTTAAATATAAAACTTCAGATACAAAAGTAGAGGCAAAAATGAATTCGATTGATTAAATGAAGTAAAAGGGAGAAAAGAAATGAAATACATTCAGGATAACTATGTTTTAAATCTAGTTAAATATCCTTGTTTATTATTTGACTGTTTTTGATGCTTTCATTAAAGTGTGTATTCTGGGAGCATTCCTATCAAGTCAAAATACACTGCCAAACATAACCCAAAATTAACGTGTTATAAATCATAATTTGATATTTTTCATTTCATCACAGATAGTTACAGTTAAAATGTCAATGGAAAATTCAAGCATTATGTACAGAAAAAAAAGTAATGCAATAAAATGTCTGCATACAATTTAATATGATCTCTATGAGTACATGAATATGATCTTCTGAATTTACTATCACAAGTTTCAGCAATATTCTTTTTACAAATGTAATATTAAGAATTATATTGCTAATGATGTATATTTAATCAGCTCTAAAACTAATTTAATGGCACTCAAATAAAATGTTGGCATGCTCAAACATAAAAAACTTAATACAGTTGCTAGAGATTAACAATGAAAACTGTGTATTCTCTGTGACATAAAAAAACTCAAGTTTTAAAGTTACACAAAAAATTTTTGTGTCGCTTAAGTTTATATCTAATAGAGGTACTAATCAATAACGGTTCATTTTTCTCCATTTTGGCACATAGTCCTTTCAATAAATTTCCACCAACAGACACACTAGCCAATCACTGTACAACCTGAAAGGGCTCAGCATAATAAATTATAAAACAGTATAAAGAATTTCTGGTCTTATTTAAAAACATATTCAACACTGCACAGCAGTGTCTATTTAACACTACTTCACATTTTCGATTCAATCTTGAAAAAGGCAGGTCAGTAGTGGAATAGTTATTTCACTACATCATATGCACCGCTGACACCCCATAACTGTATGCATTATTATATGTATATAAATATATAATTACATGCAAACGAAAAGGCACGCTTGGCTTCTCAATGAAATGGAAGTAGATAATGAGAGAGATTGATTTGCTACAAAAAATTATTAGTACACAATTGTTCAAACTGTATATTAAAAATGTGTAAATCAGCTCAGAGCACTCCCATAATTAACCAATGTGAATAAAAAATTGTGTAATAAGTAAGGTTTCAAAATTTGAATGCCTGAAAGCAATACAAAAACTGATGCAGTGAAATCAAATTTCTCCAACCAAAGTAATTTTCATTCTACACCATTCATGATGGCACTAAGAATATTTTATGAACATTTTCCGCTATTTGAAGTTATTGCAAATTACAAGCATTCACATGAAACGATTTTCTGTTCTAATTGTTTGCTGGTAAATTTCAAATTATGCATATTATACCGATTAAAAAATCTGCACAATCAACCAGTTTAGAATTTTAAACATAGACATAGAAAGGTTTGCTGAAAGAAAGAAAGGAAAGAAACCACTCACAACTAAAATCAGATACTTTCTTCCAATTCAATTTTTTCTCTTTTTTCTGAAACGCTAATATTTGGTGGATAAGTAGACTGAATTATTCAAACATTAGGTATCACTACAACATGAAATTGTTCTCACTTTTTCAGACAAACATTCACTTCGGATAAGAACTAAAAACCTGGTGCTTTTTTTTTTTAATCTACTTCCCTTTCAGTGACGATTAAAGCACTGCTTTCACTTTGCATGTGGCTATAGATATAAAGAACAATAACAAATTCCACTGAAAAAATCCATGGGTAGTTCATAAAAAAAAAAAAAGATCTAGACAGAATTGTTTGACTGATAAATAATCTTAATGTTAGTGAAAATGGTAAATTTACAAAATATTCGTCAGGGTCTCTTTTCACCAATTTCGTTTTATGAAGCAACAGTTTAATTACTTACAGAAGGTAAATGATGTAAACAAAACTAGTCAACATTAGGTTAAATATACAAACCCCCAACAACCAAATTGTTGTAAGATCGTTCTACATCTAAATGTTTTAAGAAGGTAATTTTACTTATTTCTTATTTTCAAGTACAGTAAAACTTCTTTTAAATGTTTTTTTAGGGAACTAAAAGGAAAAAATGTCTATAGAATAAGAAAATGTAATATACATAATAAAAAGAAAAAAAAATAACATGAAAGGTAGGTCACTTTTAATAAAGAGTCTGATCTTCAATGGTTTGTATTTCTCTCCACACCTAAAGGTGGCTTCACAATTCGTAATTCAGTGAGTAGCGAGCAACCGTTTGCCGAATCCCAAAAAATATGGATGAGTTGCTTGCTATTTGTCGAGTGATGAACATTCAACACCCAAAGGTGCTACCGAAAGGTGTCACCGAAAACATCAGCTCTTTGGGATTGGGGCGAGCAGCACCTCGCTGCTCAGCGAATGCTGAATGTATGAAGAATTCAAGTCCCCCTCCCCTTCCCTGTGACAATTACAATTGTGACAAACCATTATACTTGATTCTCAAGTATTTCATATTTACTACAAAAGTGCCAAAATGCTTATTGTGCCAGATTCCTTTGCCTCCTCAAGATTTATGCTGGATTTTATATGGACATTTAATGTCTTAAAGAGATGTGTAAACACAAAAACAAATAAATATAAAACGTTTTTCTGAAATAATTTAGCATGGGAAGTATAGGAATTTAGGAGACACTTAAAAACAACAACAAATATATATGAAAAACATATAAATGGAGCTTTACTGTAAGTTATTTTTGATTGATCACTGTGTAATATAATGGGGGGGTTATTTGAATTAATATTTACGCAAGTTTCAAATTTCATCAGCAGATACGGACTACACTCACAACTTTCTCAGTGGAATTGCAGGACAATTTGCAATTTCTATATAAATACATACACACTGTGTGCGAGTATTGTTTAGTTTATGACCGACAATGGCTGTTACCATTAAATACCAACAATAAACCAATTCAATGTTTAAGCACTCTTAAATACAAAAGTAAACTATAGAATCAAGCAACTGTTACTCTCTTAATTTTTAAAAGCTTCAAGGTATGAATAGAAAGGCAATATGAAAACTGAAGCAATCATACATGAAATAAATATTATTAGAATTACCAAGAAGTTATGTGAAACATTCATTATATTATCAGTGTGGTGCAAAGTATTCAAATTAAGTTCAGTTTTAAATAATTAAAATATTTGTTCTTTTATACATTTATACATTCAGGAGGGGAATAAAAATGTTGAATTAAATTTTAAATTGCAAGTACATTATGCCATTAATTAGTAGAGAATTGAATGGCTCCATAAGATACAGAGAACATTTGATTAAAACAAAAAAGAGAGTTTGATGCTATTGCCCTCCAGAACTACTACATGAGGTATTTATGCATGCATTAATGAAGACATTTATGCATGCATAGATATACATGTAATTATAATGCACGTATGCATACAAAGATTATTGTACATATAATCCTCATGTATAAAACAATGTTCTGTCTAAATGATAGTAAACGAAGTTTGCAGTTCAGTTTACATAGCAGTTAAACAGATCGTTTTTATTAAATTTGACTTTTACGGAAGGTCCCCTAGAGATTTAAGAATTGAATTTGAATGTTTTTTCATCAATATGAACATTAAGGAACTCCTGTGTATAATTTAACCTCTGCCTTAATGGTCATTAGAGGGCCAATAATCGTATGAATGCTTAAACATGTTCATTTGGCTTACTGCTGGTGTTCAGCATAATTTAACCATAATACACACACTCGTATATATGTATATAAGTATGTACATAAAGGAAACAAGTAGATATGAATGGAAACAGATGGCATTGTGAGTGTACATAAGAAGACACCATTCACTGGCACAGAGCAGCCAGTAGCACAGTTCGGTGATTTGCCAGTATTACATGACCTTCCATCAATGTATCCATCCACCAGCATCACAGATGTCTGGTGACAACACTGTCACCTTCTCCCAGCAGTGTGATCACTGGCCCATAGTGGCATAGAGTAGTAACTGTCTGATGGAATAATCATCTGGCTGAACAGTAACCACCTGCTGGCAGACCCATAAAGCAGAAAGAGAGCCAGAATAATCTGCAGCTCACCGCCCAGTAGGAGTGAGAGGTGGTGGTGGAGAGACCGGATGCAAAGACTGCAAGGATGGCATCCGGCTCAGATTCCACCGCTGCTACTGAGGTTGTGTTGGATTATGTGGTATTTGTGGACCCTGCACACACAATACGGGAAATTGAATTAAATTTTATAAATCACTGGTGTAAAGAGTTAATCAATTATTTTGCATTATTAATGTAAGATTAAACAAAAAATAATAATTTGCATAAGCACTGTAAGTAATTTACAGATTAAGACACTTGGTTGAATTTCACTTTGAGTTTGTAATTTAACAAAATTCTTCAATGCACATGCAAACACTTAAATAATAATTTACAGGACATTAACACTATAAAGAACTTTGCCTTTCTGTACATTTCACAGACTTCATAACAAATACTTAAATATTAATGTTCAAAACATCACAATTGTTACACATTTACAACATATTTTTTTAAAACATTTTTTGTTTTAGTAGATGATTACAGTGACACAAAGAAATGAAATCAAGTGAATTATAAAAGATGATTCTTTTGATTTGATATCACAGAAACCCTCTTGTAAAAAATTTGCAATGCTAAGTTACATGATGTTTGTCCTTGTCCTTTTACCTTCATCCCTGTATCTTTTCAGGGCATCCTTTTTCTGTTCGACCATATTTCACTCTCTCTTTTTGGACCAGAAATTGACAACACTACCGGCCTACTGCCTGCAATTTCTTGCACATATGACATTGATAGAGGGTAACCTAAATTGATGGCACATTTTTCTCAGTATACCAGGGCCCATATGATTGATATTATTAGGGCCCGGATAATAATGTACTAAAATATGTAACACATTAATGATCATTATATCAAATCTGTTTCATTAAAATATTTTTATATTGATTTATATTGTAAATTATTATGTACTCTTCATCTGAAGTCCAAAATTAAACATCATACTCCTTATTCTTTCACATGTGTATTTTTCCAGAAATTCATGTAGCACTGGATTCCTTAATTTCTAAATAAATATATTTGCAGCAACCGTAGCATGACACTAATCAATTGAAAACAGATTTCTGAAGCCCAGGACTTTGGCGATACAAGAGTCAATATAAAGGTTTTTTGGCAGGGTTTAAATATTAATCTTCAAAATTCATGTTTGATGATACGACATGGATTTATGTTCAAAGATTTGAAGCTGCTGAACTCGTGCTACACTTTTCTCTGGCAAAAAAGTTATATTTGATCTGTAGAAAAATGTTTGAATTCTTTTGTGAAGTACTTCAGTATTACACTCTGAGGTAGTTTGGCCTTCAGCATTTTTAAGTTAAATATGTACTAAAAATATGAACTGATTCCAAAATGTCACTGTTCAATGTTAGGATTAGGGAATAAAATAATGCTGGTTCCAACCAATTAACCTCTTAGCTCACACAAATTCCACTTTCTTAAATGATGTTCTAACCTGAAGCACTATTGCTAGATGGCCTTGAAAAGATACATCATACTTTGCCTGCTTCAAATTCTCACTCTGTGTTTTCACCATTCCACAAGTTTAATCCAATTGCTGTGAATTACTGTGTCCTGCATATTATACACATCTATTTTGAAATCCTCACCCACTATATAATCAACTACAGGACAGTCTTTTAGAGAGGAAAAAATGGTCTTTTTATCTCTAAATCCCTTGAAATGTAGGTCCATCATTGAATAAAACACTCAATTCTGCCATATACTATTAAAACAACTTTATCGATTCCACAGAATCTAAATGATCTTAGAGTGATGATTATAAAAGATCTAAAGAGGTAAAGCCAGGTGCAAGTTGTAATAAAGCCAATAAACAGATATATCTCTTACAAAAAGCATTCATAAACTTGGATATGGAAATGGCATGGAAAGCCTGTGTGTCTTATGTGAGACCAAAACTAGAGTATGCCAACATTATGCAGTGTCTGTATTATAATAATGACATAAAAATGATTGAAAAACCACAAGGGGCTGCCCAAACTCCCAAGAGAGTTGCTATGTCAGGAGTATCATGAAAGTTGCAAAATTTTGAAACTACTGACCCTAGAGAAGAGAATGTGTCAATCTTGCTGAAACCTTCAAGATACGCAACGGTGGATATAATGAGGAAACACATTGTGATGTTTTTAGGAAATCCATTGATAGGTTGAGGGCTCAAGAGACTGCAAAAGGAGATAGCTCAATCCAAATAATCTACAACAGATTATTTGATTTCTTACATATTTTATTACATATTTTATTGCATTTCAATATATTTACATGTAGAAATGGAACACCACAGTGTCAGGCACAACGTTGTCAATATGTTCCTGGAATCCTCTTTTTGTTAAGCAGAACAATGCAACACCAAGCCTCTACGACCTTCCGACCTTCACTGTAAATTTTCAAAATTACCCTGACTTTTCAAAAACCACGTACTCGGAAACAATGATGAGTGGATATTTGTGAAGCAAAAGAAATTACAACAGTGTGCTTGCTAATGATTTACAACCAATGCATAACTACTGAAATCTGACAAACATTTATTTCAGGCCATTGTCTCATTACACTTCTTACACCCCGTCGAAAAACGTACACCTCTCTGCCAAGGAATCAGGATTCAGAACCTATTCTTCGGACATAATGCAAATTCTCCAGTGGAATATGATAAAATCAATATGTGAAAATTGTTTTTAATAAATTTAGTTCAATGAAAAAGGAGTTTGATTTGGAGGATAGTCCTGTTACACTCCCCTTCTTGGCTCGTCACTGGCTATGCAATATAACATGCACACTGACTTCTCGTTCACATGTGCTTAGGATCTTCATAAATAATATTATATTTACTTCACATGTATTTTATATTCTGCATGAAACTCGATGTTCTAGTACAGACTAGCATCCACTTGGATCTGTTGATGTATAACTTGATTTCACACACTAGGAATCCAATTTGGGGTCTGATTGGTGAAGTTTAGTGCACAAAAATTTGGAAACGTTTGAACAGAACTATTTTAAACAAATTCATTAATTCATATTTTATATATTTTCTCTTTATCTAACATACTTAGTATATAAGCTTTTTTTTATTACAACTAATTCCGTTCCCTACTCAAAATTACAGAAAAATTGCCCCAGCTTGACATCTTCAATCAGAACTATGCTTTATTTTCACATAAACCTTAAGAGTAACATAATTGATTGTTCTATAATGCTCAAGCAAATTGATTTTAAAATTCCAGTAATCTCTACAAGACATTTGGAAATTTTTCCTGCAAAAATTATTTTATTAATGTACTAAATTTTTTATTGATAACTGCAATATTGTTACATAAGGCAGATTTGGAGAGAAGTCCTTAAAAGATATCTGAAATCTGTGAGAATGTACAATATGTGCAAATTAGTATTATATTCAATTAACATTCTGCGAGTCATATATGTGAGAAAAAAAACAACTACAACGCATCTTTGTCTTCTGCTCAGTTTGATGAATAAATGTATCCTTTGTCATTTTGCTGAGAAATGCTCTGTTACTCCACATTTCCTTGACAGTTTCTCTTCTTCTAAATGTTAAGAAGATTGTGTTTAAAGTGAGTATATGTGCTGAGGGCGTTTCTAGGTATTGCCGAGGAAACAATATACTGTTCTTGAATAAAAATGACAACAAACAAAAATTTAGTGAATTGATGGAATTGGGGAGCAGGTTATGGCTGATCTGCATGGCATGCGGCCTCATCAACATAATATACCCAGAGACTGGCAAAAAGATATGGCTATAAACATATACAGTAAAAGCAAGAAAACTGCAATACAGGAGAAGATCCTTCCTATCAATTCTTATCTCAAAATTATTTTCCAAAATGATTAAAAACCGACTTACCGAAAACAATGAATAATCCTTAGAATAATGTGGCTTCAGAAAAGATAAATGCCATATTCACTCTTCAAACGATAATGGACAAACAGCAAAAAGAAAAGGTCAATATTCATTTTATTCCTAGATTACAAGAAACCTAACAAGGTAAGACGAGAAAAACAATGAGAAATTCTTGAAGAGGAAGACATTCTAATACAAATAACAAAAGTAATTAAAAATATGTGTGAATACTCAAAGATACAGTATATACAATTTGGCAATCCAAATACACAACCTATTCAAGCTAGAAGAGGTCTAAGAGACTCTCACCAATCCTTTACAATTTTTAAGCCTACAACATAATCAGAAAATGGAGAGCAAAAATCAATCAAGGAATAGCTAGCACTGAAATGCGAAACTACACGTAGAAGGGAGCAAGAACACCAAAGAAAAGATTGAGACAACAGGAACAAGTAAATTAACCACCACCAGGCAACCTGTACAGGTGATATGACCTATCTAAACCCGCCAAACTGTTCAGAATAATAATGATAATATACACTATAAGCAGGAAAGATTTGGAGTTTGGGAAGAAATTATGAGGGTAAAGAAATCAAAATTTTTAAGACAGTGATGCCCTCTTTTAGAATATTTGAAATACATTCTTGCAATGACATATGGTCTCCAAAAATTAGTATGATCAGGAGATATTCAAGCAAACAGATTTGATGCCAGTGGGAAAAGTGAGTTAGTTAGCAAAGCAGAAAGAACGTTAAAGAGATTATATGTATTTACGTTTTTGTAACATTGTTTTTCTACATACTTCAATATTCTATAGTAAAGAAATATTTTACAATTATGTCAAAAAACACCAATCAGTGGGGGTATGATTTAAAGAAAACTTAAATATTCCTTTTTTACATATAATATAAAGTTAGTAGTGGTAGATTTCAAGAAAATATTTAATGGAATTGAAAAATGAAACCCCTTACAAACATAGTATTGAACAGACCTCTTGAAAATTGGCAAAATCAGTAGTATACAGTACAACCCTGCTTTTACTTTTTCTTGGCAATGACAACATTTCTTGTTCGTCCCATCAGTTTTCATTTATTCATAATGTTATAAATACTCTGCATTAATGATAGTATAATTTCAATTTCCCCGCAATTTACAACAATCTGCTTGCCTCAACACCATTTTCAAAACACTTCACAAAGCACACAACAGGAAATATTGCTGCACTTTCCCATCACCTTGCCACATTAAAAATTGCCATAAAAAAAAGTCTATTGTAATGGTGTGATATAAAGAGTTATGAAAAGTTAGAAAACAAAAAGATGATTTAAATACAGAGAAAATCATTATTGAGCAGCTGGACCTATACAAATTTTCATTTCACGACTTTACAAAGGCATTTAAAAAGGTAGAAAAAATACCAACGTTGGTAGAAGAATAAGGTCTCTGCCACACGAGAAAAGCGTTGATGCGTGTCACTTAACGCTGATGACGCACAGCTGCGTTGATGTCTGCGCATGAGACATTTAATGCGCGCGGTAAATTAACACTACTTACCTTATGCGAATCGACACATGAGGGCTCTTGGCGACGTGCGTAGTTGCCAACGCTTGTCGCCTAGCGGGCGCCGCTCGATGAAGCTAGAAAACTCACTTCATCTTGACTTGGGCTTCTTGTATGAGCTTTGGGCACAACGCACGTCGCCAAGAGCGCTCGTGTGAAGTTTCGCGCGTTATGTTACCTGTGCACAGGCATTGATGCAGCTGACGTCATCAGAGTTTAGTGACGGGAGTCAACGCGACGTTCATGAAACCCAGTCCTAAGAGAGGTAGCCTCACGATCGTTTGTTTATCCTCCTTCACAATTTCACTTTTCCATTTTAAAATGAACATATTTTTTCCCCATCCTTTCATAGCTCAAACATCAAAGTATGGAATTCTCTGTACATTTTAAATGCAAATTCGTGTCATGAACCCTCTTTCTATTACTTTATAAATACATTTTTTTTTTAAATACTAGTTGGAAATTATTACGAACTGCCAAAAACAATCATTTTATTGAATTGGGGTAGTAAGAAAAGGATGCGAAGTTTACATTTTGTACACTTCGCATCCTTTTCTTACTGTAGAATTACTATTTCTCTCTCTACATCCAATAATGAGTACATTGTTGCGTCGTCAAAGGCTACCATCAGTGGATTGCGGGGACTTGTGGAAGTGTCATTGCGACATTTAAAAATTCTCTATGCTTCGGTTAATACGCCTTCGATTTCCGCTGTCGTTAATTTCGGTCAGATTTCTATTTCTATTCTTCTGAGAATTCTATGACTCCTAACATTTGTATGAGATTACCATTGGGTGTTTAATAATTCAATACTTTTTATTTATTCTAAAATGGAAAGACCATTAGCATAGTGAAAGAAACAGAGAAGGTAAATAAATTATATTTTTGAAACGAAGGAAAAATGAAGTGATATCCACCATCTAGTAATTTATCAATAGGAAAAATAGTTCTTGTTTGCTTTAACTATTTGTTGGTGTGGATTATACTATGATTAAAAATACAATGTGTGAACATTAAAGAAAAGGATATTAATAATTAATATGGTACAATTTGCCTCTTCAGCATGCTGGACACATTTTAATCGAATGTGATTGATCCCTTTCTTTATAGATGTAATCTACAAATAGAACAGATAAGGAAGGAAAGAAACTACTACTAAAAAGACAGACAGAATAAGAGTACTGAGAGCAACAAACTGTAAAGTCGAGGCTGTGGTCATCCGTGCCAGGCTGCGCCGTCGCTGGCGGCAGGTGGGATGCGTAGAGGGCACGTCCACTCACCGGTGGCACCGCAGCGAAAGGTGGTTGTGCCATGTGTGGTGCACCCACAGCACCATGGGCTGCTAAATGGTGAACTGCCATCTTTGGCCCATCTTCTGCTTTCTCCTCTTCTCGCCGCTTTAGGCACGCTGCTTTTGGGTTTAAGTTTCGCTCTGAAGAAAAAATGTTAACTTTTAAACTTTATGCTCCACCACACTAACTACTTAAAATACAAAATGACTAATAGAATTCTGAGGACGTCAGTTACTAACACAACTCTCTATAAGAAGCAATTTGTAAAATTTTTCTGAAAATTTTACACAAGGATAAAAAGTTATTAAATATTGCATAAAAAAAGAATTCCACATTGTAAGGTGATGATATAGCAGGTTCAAATGTACACAAAAATATACCTTGGAAAATGAAAGATGGTCATGAATGCCTGCAAAAAATATTTTAAAATATCTCAACACAGCAGTGATTCACAACAAATTCAATTATGATCAAAACTAACTTAGATCTCAAACTGAAAACCCTTACCCCGAACTTGTTGCTCCAGGTTCATAATAACTTCAACAGCCATGTTGAGGATACCCAATTTTGTCTGGGGTTTGTCTGTTTTCAGGTGGGTCATACACATTCTTCCTAGTTCTTTCAATGCTTCATTGATATCTCGAATTCGAATTCTGCCAAAATCAAAGAGATACTATTTACAATACTGGAAAAAACATTCTACTACAGTAGTATCTTTTGCCCTTATTGCATTATATTTAAATATTATGTAAGACAAAAGCAATGTACTGAAATAAATATTGTGATGAGAAATAAATTTACAGGAAAGACTGTGTCCAGCAATTAGGAAGAAAAATTACTCCAAAACTTGAAACAGATTAGAGGAAGAGCATGCATTAGAAGGATTGACAGGGTAAATCATAAAGACTGAAATTTCTACATCTGATATTAATGCGTGCAAAAACACATATTGAAAAACTCAAAATTAAATTTTATAAGTTATATTACCTACTATTCAAAAATATTTTATAACAAATAATCATTACTAGTAATTTAAACTTATGAACAAACAGAAAATGATGAAGTATAACAAGGAAGAAATAATGTTTGAATAAAATACCTGAAACAATAATCTGCCTAATGATTTGAAAACTACATATTATAATGGGAACTTTAAAGCTAAAAAAATGATGAGGGAATGGTTTTACAATACTTCATATATGGAAAATAAGCAGAAGATAAAGTTGATACTTTTTTTTTTTTTTTATTTTAAATTTTCATGCTATTGACGGAATTCAAATATGAATTGTGTTTTCGATTTGAACCAACACACTTGTATTGTATATCAACAGGAAAGACAGATTGATAAAATTGTTAGCAATTCATTTTTTTAAAACTTTATTGAAGATATTTTTACTAAGTAAGTAATACTAAGTAACTAAAATTTTACTCGGTAACATAAGCCTTTTGTCATTATGCATCCCCATGTAATAAAGAAATAAAATGACTTGAGAACTTCTCTTGCAATTGTGTATACTATTTCTGTCAAAACCACAAAATGTGTTCCCTACAAAACATTGACATCAATGATTCACAGCATTTTAACACACACTTTCACTATAATATGTAGGCAAAAAAAGTTAAGAAAATGCTGTATAAGTTAACCTTGCGTAAAGATGAAATTTCGCTTCACTGTAAAATAAAGTGCTAAGTCATTGGCTCCACCTATTTGAAAAATTGCAAAAATTTGCCCAAATTATGAAAACAAAAATGGTGATTCTGGTTTAATTACGAATTACAAGACAATCTCGCTAATATATTTTGAAAATTTTGGAAAATCATTTATATGACTTTTTATACATTTTGTTCTAATCATACATATTCAATCAACATCATGGCTTTCTCAAGAACATCATTGACCAATTTGCTTTCTTTTACTCACTTTCCACCTACCTCCTTTAATATGGGCAGATTGTTGGTACTTATACAGGCTTTTCAAACACTTTTGATATACCTAATCGTGATACATTAATGCTTAAGACAAAATCATTCCATGTCCCATGAAATTATCTTAGTCTTTTGGCATTGTACATAAAGTTCCATACAAAACAGTTTCAGTATGCAGGTTACCAGTTAACTATATCCTCAACACCTACAAGTGCGCACGGGGTTCTAATTTGGGTCCTTTATTATTAGCTGTACCTACATATTAATGATTTTGATTGTAACTTAACATGTATTTTACTAGCCTGTGAAACTGATATTAAGTTATTTATCCTAATTAAATCATTGGATGACTGTGGGGTTCCACAAATTATTTAAAACAGTTACATAAACAATTGATTTACAAATTCATTTTAAATCCTACTAAAACCACAGAGCCTCTTAAAGAGTAAATGCTTTTCTTGGCGTCTGTTATATATATATATATATATATATATATATATAATATATATATAAATATATATATATATTATTTATATATATATAATTATATATATAATTATACTACAAATGAGTACCATGGTTACAAGAGTATCTTGAAAAGAAGCGTGCACGGGAAAACTACAGTTAGGACGTTTGGTTATGAAATCAAGGCTGTCCTATAAACAGGAAGGACATTGGGATCTAATGTGGCATTTCCAGATTTTTATTTATACAAGTATTACACTGCGAGATTTGGTGCATTTTTGCACAAATTGTTGTGGACTTGCGTTTTTGACAGTAACCACCATCTTAATTGTTTTGCTGCCGAGTTTTTTGAAATTTAGTAGCCAACATTATCATATTCAGAACTATTTAGGGACAATCTTTTTCCTTTTTTGCCTGTAGTCTTGCTTTAGGCTTGTTGATGTTCCTCAAAAGAAGAAAAGTAGCTAATCAGTAAATATAAATAGTTAAGACTAATTCTATTGAATCTTACAACAAACTAGCTGTCTTATAAATCTTTCTCTCTTCGAAACATCAGTTGATCAGGTCCTGCAAGTTTGATATGTTTCCAGGAAGCAGATCTGCCAGTGGAGGTAACTACACACCTTATTGTGTCTTTTCAAGTATTTGGTCATTGCTAGAATTTGACAAGCTGAGACAATATGATCAACGGTTTCTACTTGTTCCTGGCAAATGCAGCATTTATGATCTTGGGAAACTGCTATATCATAATAAGTTCTTAATGCCTGCTCCTGGGCAGCTATGATACTGTTTTTGACTATGGTTTTATTCATCCCTTTTTAAATCACACAAATGATTGATCTTTATTGATCTGCACGTTGTCCATTCTTTTTAGATATCGTCCACAATGTGGTTTGTCTTGCCGCAATCTCTTTACCATTTTCTGTGTGTCACATTTCATGTTAAGTAGCTTCAGAAGTGTAGTGTCTTGTGTTATTCTGCGTGTCTTGCATAATTTTCTTTGCAATGCTTGTTGCTACTCTTAAAATATCTCCCATCCTTTGGTCATATTTAATGACCAGGTTCTCATTTGCGGGTCTTCTTGGTGATTGCCTACATACTTCCCCATCCCAACAATTGCATCGTGCCAGGAGGCTTCAATTTGTCTGAAGCCTCCTCCTTCCTTACGTGACACAAAGTCAATGCACATCAGTTCAAGGATGGGTGACACGATACATTGTAAGTAGATTTCTGGTTTTTTGATCTACGATCTAGTTTTATGCTATGAATTTCTACTAGTCCGAAATGTACTCTGATTCAAACACAGTGGCCTAGTCAAACTACCTATTGCAGATACTGTATTCTTGGATTTCAGAGCAGACCGCAGGACAAGTCTCTTTCGTCTTTCATTGAGTTATTCGAGATGTTCTCACTTTCTTCACTGCCTAGATATTTGTTTTACCTGGCTCAAGTTCTTGAATCACAGTATGCATATCAACTTTGATGCTCTTCGATGTTCTCACTTTGCCTCTCTTAAAATTGATTTTCGAACATTTCTCAATACCAAATTTTATGCAGATTGCATTGCTAAAATAATTTACAACAGCATTTGGGAGAGAAGTATGTCATTCATAGCAAACACAAAATCATCAATGAAAAACAATTGTGATACTGGCCTTCCATCACACTGTAACCAAAGACAGTGTGTCACAATGGTCTAGATAGTGGAAACGAAATTTTATCATCATCATTATAATCATTATTATCAACATCATCAAATATGCATAAAAGCTTTGCATCATGTTCACAGTGAAAGATAGGTAGCAATGTTTTTCCAGGAGATCCCAATTTGTCCAATTATTGTGGCCAAAAGCTTTTTCGAAGTTTGCAAAAGTAAGATGTGTTGACAAATTGAATTATCCCCTCTTCCAAAAAATTTGCTGTAGGATGACAGTGGGAATGCTGTAGAACTTTATTTTCGGTTATAATTTTCTGTTTACATCACATTTATAGTAAATTCTAACTGATTTGGTAATTTGATCTTTGTAATATTATTTTTTCTTTAATTTATGTTTATAATACTTTAGTAAACAGGGTAAATTCTGTGCATTTGAATAAATAATAATAATAATAATAATAATAATAATAATAATAATAATAATAATAATTCAAGGTCAATCTGTTTCCAAAACCAATTTTGTTCTCCTAACATTGTTAAGGAAAATGCCTTTATTCTTGCATTCATTTTATATAGTGGGCAGACTGAACTTATTTCCTTACATTTTTTTACAATTTCTCTTATCTCTCTTTTTGAAGAGTGCTGCTACTTTCACAGTGTCAAGAACTAGATCAATTCTTCCGTGGAAATTACATCTTGTGTTTGCAAAACTTCTGTTATTCCAATTCTCTGTGGTATATTTTCTTGACATTACAGTCTCGTAATGGTTTAACCATTCAGTGGATTACATCAATTCTTGTATCATCTTTTTCAGATCTCTTAAAGCTATTAATACTTTATATGGGAAATTTTAAATCACATGCACATCTTGTTTTACTAGAAAAATGAAGTTATCTCAAGATGTTTTAGGCATGCCTCTTACAATTTTAGTTGTTACATTTTATTTCGATATGACATTGTTTTATGCTACTATCTTTTTTTCTTCTTCTGAAATCATTAAAGATATGTTCTTGTCTATTTTCCTTGGCTGTTTGAATTTTTTCATTCCACACTTTTAAACCTCCTCTACATTTCATCTTTTACTTCTTAACATAGTGTGGTTTCTGAAAGCAAGTTTTTGGATTCTCCCATTTCTTTACTAAGCATTCTTCAGTATGTATTTCTAGAAGATAATGTTGCTGTTTTGATTATTTAGATGCTGAATGCCTTCTTTTTGCAACAAAAAACTAACTGCCTGTATTCTCTGCCTAAATTTCTGATGTAATTCTTCAAAATTTTCATTTTGTACAAGCAAGTACAGGATAATGTCACATCCTCTACATATATTAATATTTAATAGATGTAACCTCATATGAATTATTAAAATATTATACATTGTTGATCTCAAACTTCTTGTACTCCACAAGTATTTGTGGATGTCATGCTTTCTGATAAATGAAAATTAGAAAGTGGTAGCGGAATAAGATAAGCAAAAGTGAACTCCGGGATAACAATTTTTTTTATGTTAGAAATTGAATTTGAAGTGGAAACTAGTGATGCTACAAAAGCACATACTTTCTCGAATTGATTCTAACGGCTCCGCTGTATAATACTACAATATACACC